AGCCATTGTTACTAAAATTTTATTTTTTCTCCAAAATTTCTTACATTTTGAGATATCAAATCAACTTAAAAATTTCTTATGAAATGGGATAGAGTGAGAAATAATAAATAAAAAGGTGAATCGAGTGCTAATGATTTTTAGATTTGGATTTTGTGACTGTATTTAGTACAGGTATTGAGTGCCTATATCATCTGAATTATTGAGATATAGATCAATGGTTCAAATAATTCACTCATTTATTAATCTCAAGTGAAATATGAATTCATAATCATTAATATAAATTTTAACAATTTAAATGATACATACAGGTACTCATTATCTATATTAAATACAGTCATAAAATTCAAATCCATAGTTTTCTTCCTCATAACAAGGACAAAACAAGTACTCTCTCTTCCTTATTTCTAGTGAACCATTCCATGCATTTTCATTTGTTCTACTTATCTCCTTCACACATAGAGGGTTCAGAATTTTTAATTTAGTGGAACCATTCCCCCAAATGCACACACTGCACATTACTACATAATTAGTTAAATATGATGCTTAAATATATTGTAGGTGCATATTGAACACGTTCATTTTCATAGATACTCTGTTACTGTCTTGTTGATGGAGATTAGGATATGTAGAGGTGGGAATATGGGCCAATCTAGATCATATGGGTTGGCCCATATGGGTTGAGTTGGGTTCAACTCATTTTTATATAGGTTAGAAAAATTTCAACCCAACCAAAACTTAAGAGTTGACAGGTTAAATGGATTGATTTGTCAATCTATTTATTTATTTATTTATTATGAATTTTAAAAAATATACTTAAATAATGAGTTCCAATTTGATATTTTTTTGTGATTCATTTTAAATATAACAAAATATATGAATTGATCTACCTAAGTAAATCATGTCTAATATAATTTATATTTACAAAATTTTTTCCTTTTTTCTTTTTATAATTTTTTTAAAGATAATATGGGTTACGTGAGCTAACCCTAACCTATCAGGGTTAGCCTGTATAGTTCACAAGTTATATAGTTCGGGCCAAAAAATTTAATTTTTATTTGAATCATTTTTTTAACTCAATCTGACCTTTATGATTGGTTATTCAATCCAACCCATATAACTTGAGCTATATTCCCAGCATTAATGATACGTCTCGTTTCACAGGAAAGATTCACCTACTACATATATTTATTTCTCTCTGCTGAAAAATTAATGAAAGAAATTAACATTGGCGTGATTATTAATTGACAATTTCAGGCTCTCTATCAAACGGGATATACGAGAGTTGCTTTCAAAGGGCAGTAGTGACTAGTGAGCAAAACGTGTGTGAGGAAATCGCTTGCTTTCTTTCTGTCTCCGAGATGGGACAAAGTTGTGGGTCCTTCAGAGCTTCTGGTTAGCGATGAAAATCCTAGAATATATTGTAGGAGAGATTTATTCTGATAATATATATTATCTATTAAAATTTATTATTGAGATTTACCAAATATTTTATATTCATCAGATATTATTAAAATATTCATTTGTTATTAGTATGTTAATTTATACTTTCTTTTATTTTATTTATAAATCACTTTCAACATATTTTATTAAAATTAAGGCAAACATTAAATTCTATTAACTTCATTTTAAAATTTAATAAGTTTCTACCTCTATACCCTAATGAAAACAAAAAATAACTATTTTAATAATTTTTCTTAGCATTTAAAAAGTAAATATAAATGTAAAAAATTGTGAAGTGTTATATAAATACGACTAAAATTAATATTCTCTCTACTATTAGAGGAATATATTGTAAATAGTACACGACACTTTTTCCAGTCAATCTTCTTCTCTCCTAACTTCTTTCACATACTTCACATGGCCAAAACTTCTAAAGTTCACTTAGAGACACTACACACTAGAGGGCAAACACAAGAAGCCTTGATGCTTTCTCAAGGTGGCTACGAGAGAAAAACATCTAACTTAAAAGGTGACATCAAACAAAGTTAAAGAGGCTACTTTCTCCCCATAAAATGAAGTACTAGGCTTTTGCTTTCGTTCTCTCAGTGCCTGGTCTTCAAATTATATTATTTAAACTTTATTTATACACACACGCTTATGTATTTATGAGTAATTACCAATTGCTTCAAACAAATGTACTTGTATCAAATTCCCATATTATATTTATATCTATTATTTTGTTTATTTATGGATTAATGCATATTTTATGCAGTCATTCATTTATTCAATATATAAATAATCCTAATTGTTGTTGTCAGACTGGTTCATTCTTGCCCATTTATATGGGCCAACAGCTAGCAAGGGAATAATTGTTTTCTTTTCTTGAATGAAGTCCTCATTGTAAACAAAAAAAAAAATTCATGGGCTTGAGTACTCTCTGCCTCTACAGCCTATTAGATTTGGTCCAATTACTTCTGGTGCAAAGACTGTAAAAATAGTATGTGCCTCAGAGAAACAAAATGAATGCTGCATTCCATTCATACTTGAATTCTCAGTTCTCTTCCTTTGAAAAATATTTTCTCCTTACAAGCTATATAATTAAATAAAAATAAAAATGTAAAACTAAGTAGCCATTAATTCTTTCCTTCGTGAAGGTAATGTTGTAAAGCACAGCAAAATTTTGCAAACAACTTTTCCCTTTGTCAGATTTGATTCCCATACTCACACCACAAGCATGGTTTTCTTCAAATTCAAGAAATCTTGGAATCTCATTTAACAGCAAAATTTGGAAATGAATGTTATTTTATTTTTGAGCAGATTGCTTTTAAATAATTTTTTACATGAGAATAGTTGATAAAATTTTTACATTAAATGTTTACTCCCCCACGTGCATGTTAATTATTTTAGATGTTATGGCAGCTGACAAATTTAAATGATATAAATTCAAGAAGACAAAAAGGATAAATCCTAAAATTTTAAATAAAGGAAGAAAGAATAGTGTGTGTGTGTGTGTGTGTGTGTAACACGCTGTCTACAAGACCAAGAAGCCATTGTATTTGTAATTGGTAAATTTTACGTAAAGCACAACTCACATTTTAGTTATGACAATTTTAAAATTCTTCTATTTTTGCATTATCAAATACACCAAAATAATCTTGGTGTTTTATTTTGCAACATCTTTTCGGCTGATATTTTGCAACTTGTCTAAAGTCAAAAAAATATTTTAAATATATTTTTTATATAGTTATCTTATTGAGTATCACTCTAACATTATCAAATCTAATTGGAACATTCTCAAACATATTTTTTACAAGATCTCATTTTCAAATGATATCTTCTACTAAATATAATATTGGTCTTTTTAACATACATTTGCAAAGGTACATCAATTAACTATTGAATTTAATTATAAAATATTTTAGTTTTAAAATGCGCTTTTCCTCATATACTTTCTTTTGAGGAATACTGGATACTTTGTACTAATAAATAGGATATTTTTTCCTTTAAACTAATTTTTAGAAGAACAAAAATTTCCTTCTATTAATGGATAACTAGTAGAGGGAGATTTTTGTTCATTTAAAAAATGATTTATGAAAAAAAAATGCCTCACTTATCAATTAAAATGTACAGCACTTTTCGAAAAAAGTATAAAAAAAAACACTTTAAACCCAAGCCAAAAACAAACCAACCATTAAAAATGGAGGACTATGTTTCCAATAAAACCAAGCCTAGTAAAACCATAACATATCAACAAGTTATTATCCAATTAGAAATCACAAAATCCGAAACAAGCCAATATATTCTAAAAGAATATATCATGATAATCTGTCTTTTAGAACTAGAGTTCTAAAAGAAAAATATTACCTAAACAATAAAAGTAATTTTTCCGCCTTGTGAAGAAGAAGACAGAGAGAATTTTATTTCAACAAATTTCAAGAAAGAGATAAAGTATTATGAGTTAATCATGGTTGCTACAAAATTTGTCACGATTACTGATAAAGAAAATGATGAAATTTTTTATAACCAAATAAAAATTCACAAGATATTAACTCCAACTATTTGGAGTTATTCTCCTCATACAATCAAAAGCTTTCCAATAGATTATAATGGCTAAGTATGCAATTATTTTGATTACAAGGAAACCTTGTATATAATCTATTTTATAAAAATTATGAACATTTTTGCTTTATCTAGTTCGATCGAGAATACACAAATGATTTTTCAAAATATTTTTTTTGAATGGTTTCATATCTCCAGACCAATAAAGAAAATATTACCCTCAATAATTGTTGAGGTTGATAATTTTTTAAAGAAAAAATTAATTTTAAAGATATAGAAAAATTATTTGATTTCTTTTATGGGTTAAAGTTCATTTTTCCTCCTATATATTTTTTTGAGGAACAATGGGTATCATATACTAATAAATGAGATTTTTTTTCCCTAAATCATTTCTAGAGGATTAAAAATCTCTCTTCATTAGTGATCCATCAATGGAGGGAGATTTTTACTTCTTTAAAAAATAATTTAAAAAAAATACTACACTTATTAATACAAGGTGTCTAACACTTCTTGAAAGAAATTATATAGAGAAAAATGTATTTTAACTCAATATTATATATATATATATAAGGAAAATATCCATAAAAACCCTTTGATTAGACTTATTTTGTATTAAAGCAACTAAATTTTTAAAATATTATTGTACTTTAAAGGTCATGGTTTGATATTAAATTTTTAAAAAAATGATAAAATTATTTTTTATTTATATTAATATCAAAATTACCCTATTTTACATGTTTATTATCTTACTTTATTTATTTATTTTTTTAAATATTATTTATTATTTTATTTTACTTATTTATTTTGCTGAAATAAAATTAAATTAAAATTAGGTAATAAATAAATGAAATAGGATAATAAATAAAAATTTGTAAATATATAAAAGTAGAAACGACAAGTTGTTTTAGCAGGAGCAAAGCATTGCGAGGGAGCACCCAAAACAAAATTGGCCAAAAAAATTAAAAAATAAGAACCCAAAACAAACTAACTAACTAGAGGAAAAGAAAGCTCCGCCTGCCAACATTGCAGAGAGGCCGTAGCTTCCATTCCATCGCCACCTCGTTCTTCCATGTTCTGTGCTGCGACATTGCATCGCCCATGGCTCTGCATCTTAGCGCTTATCAGCCTCACTTATTGTCTTCATTATCAGTCCGTCAAGAACATACTACGAAGCCTTTGATCAGAGTTTCTCTGCATCCCTTCCATTTGGCTGCTAATTCTAGAATTCCACCTCTTCACTCCCCTCCTGCTTTCATTTCCAGGCGCGTTGTTCCAATCCCTCTAAAATCTTCGTCCACAAATGGGGTCTCCCTTCAGAACCATTTTGCCGCTTCGAGGGAGGACCATGGCCATGGGGAATATGAAGACAATGTTGAGTTTCTGGAGAGGCTTAGAAGATGGTTCGGTGTCTTTCTTTCGATTTTGCCAGGTGGCGGATGGTGGGACTTCTCCGATGATGTCAATGTTCAAGGTCTTTCCGAGGCCAAGCCGGTGACTGTTTGGCGCGTGCTTGCCAAAATGTGGGAACTTGTTGCTCAAGACAGCTGGGTTATTTTCGCGGCGTTCTCGACTCTGGTTCTTGCAGCTGTACGTGTGACCCTATTTTCCCTAATTTAACAGCCTTATGTTACATGCTTATTTCTTACTCTTCGAGCTAAGATCAATTTGCTAGAATTTTTTTTTTTTGAAGGAAAAAAAAAAACTTTGTTCAATGCCATTTCAGGTTTCGGATATTTCGATACCACATTTCTTAACTGCATCCATCTTTTCCGCTCAGAGCGCGGAAATTACAGTCTTCCATCGGAATGTGCGTCTCTTGGTTCTTCTGTGTTTAACTTCCGGACTATGCAGGTCAAAATCTTGTATGGTCAAATCTCCCTTGTACCTATGGACAATGATGTGATTTTGTTGTTTTACTTACCTAGATAGGATGATCTTCCTCTCTATGTTTCTGTGTCTAATCGTCCTTAACCTGCTTTCCTCGAATCTACCGAATGAACCGAAGAAGTAGCATGATCTAACATTCTGAAGACAGCCGTGATAAAGCAACTGCAAAATTGCGGAACATTTAGATACTGATGGCACTTTGAATTTGATGTTATAAGTTCTTCTTCGTTTGTGTCTTTGAGATACCGATGATAAGATCTAACGAACTTATTTTTCAGTGGGATACGGGGTTGCTGTTTTGGCGTTGCAAACATGATTTTGGTGAGTTTCTCTGTCATGCTTTATATTTTGATTGCTTCTTCTTTCCCATGATGTACGAGAGCATAATATATTAATGAACTAAGAACCTTTTTTTGGCCCATGAACTAAGAACTTTAACTCTGAAACTGTAGACTATTGTAATTGATCTTTGTTCTTTCAGCTATCTGGTCCCCAGTTCTTCAGTGTATTTCACTGAAGAATTCGTTCTGTTTTGTTCGCTTGGTTCTGCTTTGCAAACAAGTTATACAATTTTTGTGTTACTTTATTGCTCACTGGAGTTTAACAATATATGCAGGTTAAGAGGATGAGAGAAACATTATACTCTTCCCTACTTCTTCAGGTTCTACTGCTCTTAATGATTAACTTGTTAGTCTTCTTGTGTTTCATTTGGTTGCGGTGCATAATTTAACTCATTTGGCAGTGTCTTTATTGTAGGATATATCATTTTATGACACCGAAACAGTTGGCGATTTGACAAGCAGGCTTGGGGCAGATTGTCAACAAGTGTCACGTGTTATTGGAAATGATCTTAACTTGATATTGCGCAATGTTCTTGAGGTTGCTTTAAATATAAAATATTTAATATTTAGAAAGTTATCCCGCTCCTTGGGGCCTTAGTTTGTTTCTTCATCTTGCTAGGGAGCAGGTGTATTGATCTACCTTTTGGCTTTGTCTTGGCCTCTTGGATTGTGTACATTGGGTATATGCACTATATTATCGGTAGTTATGCTAATTTATGGAAGGTAAATTATTTGTTCTCTTCAATTGCTTCTTTAGAAACTCAAGATCAACTTTCTTGTGGGGTGCAGTGGACAAGTGCAAATGAGCTTTGCCTTGGGAATCTTGCCCAATACTAAATATCATCACATAATTCATAATCTACATCTTTGTTAATAATATTGTCTTGTTCTCAATCAGTTCATACACTAGATTTGCATTAACTCATATTTCAAGTGATATAAAATAACGTTGACCTTATAAAAGGTTTATGTTGCTTCATTCTTCTCACAACTTTGGATGCTAAGGATTCTAACAACCACCCATCCCCAGACTTTTCTGCTTCACTCAACTTAATCTCTCTAGATTTAATTTGGTTTGAGTTTTTCTCTATAGGTATCAGAAAAATGCTGCAAGGTTGATCCAAGAAGTTACTGCCTCTGCAAATCAAGTAGAATCAGCTGCCTTATTCTGCACTTTGTTTTATGTTTTCTGAATACTACTGTAATGTCCATTCTTTCATATTAATATTAAATTGCAGGTAGCTCAGGAAACATTCTCGCTCATTAGGACTGTCCGTGTTCATGGAACTGAAGGAGAAGAACTTGGGAGGTGACAGTGCTGCTAGAACTATAACATATGAGTGGATGCATTCTTATATTTCAGCAGTTTTGACATATATTTTGTTCATGCCCATTGATAGATACCAATGGTGGCTGAGGAAGCTAGCTGATATAAGTTTGCGACAAAGTGTTGCATATGGATTTTGGAATTTAAGTTTCAACACTCTTTATCATTCTAGTCAGGTATAGCTACAGGTTGTTAAAATAAAGATACTTTTTTGCTTACGTTAAATTCCATTTGGGATCAATTATCAATAATTTATTTTCTGATTTGAAGATTTCTTACCCTCAAACCTTGTTTTTCTCCTCTTTATAATGCAATTTCCTTTTCTTTTAAATTAAAAGAAAAAATAAGAGATTATTGTTTTCCGATTTAAACTTCTGTCCTTGACTTTTGTTTTTATTGGACCACATAATCTTTATAGGTTATTGCCGTGCTGTTTGGAGGAATGTTCATTCAAGCAGGTCATATTACCCCAGAGAAGCTCACCAAGTTCATTATGTACAGTCAATGGCTCATTTATTCAACCTGGTTGGTTGGAGACAATATATCCTCTTTGATGCAATCAGTTGGAGCTAGTGAAAAAGTATTTCATTTCATGGATCTCTTACCAAGCAGCCAATTCATAGCAAGGGGCAAGTGTTATTATGAGCTATGTTCAGCTAATTTATGTGATGATGATTATATACTTCATGTTTGTCCTTTTTGTTCATCCTCTTCAAGTGTTTATTACTGTGATGTTCTAATAATCAAGGTACATGTACCTAATACAATAGTGACAATACTCACCCCAAAATATGCAATTGGTATAGTCACGTTTAGAGTCCACTAGTTTTTATTTTGGTATCATACTTTAACAGGTCTTTAATGCTCCTGTAACATGCATACGCAGTACCTGCATCCATTTCCCACATCTCTACCAAGTAACTAAATAGAAAGAAAGAAGATCTCATGGGAAATATAACGCATTGCTGCACAATTTTTCATCAATGTTTTAAGTTTTATTACATTGAAGTTAGAATGTAACTTTGTTACAGGGGTAAAGTTGCAGAGATTAATGGGGCATGTTGATTTTATAAATATTTCTTTTCACTACCCATCAAGGCCAACGGTATATCTCCTACTTTCAATATCTTCTTCTGGCTCCTAGATCAGAAAGTTGTATATTTGATACCCTTGTTTATCTTTACTTCTGTGAGGAATGAACATAGCTAGAATAGAAATTAAGACTTGGATGCTGAGATATGTTCCTCCTCTCTCAGACAAGAAAATGGGTGCAGACAGAGTTTCCCTTTTACTCGTTTAGTCTTATGAGCATGTTTGTGCAATATAAGGGGAGAATTCTTTTACAAACATTCGATGGGATTTTATTGCGTGGGTGGGGTGTTGTTTTTGGCAGCTTAGTGTTGATATCTATTTCTTGGCTGCATGTGCATTGTTACAAATATTGTAGATTAAAATGCAATTTCTTAAGCTAGCGCATGCTGCTATGGATATTTTTATTGTTTTAGTGTCTTGACTCCTGATTTTTGACACCATGTCTGCCCTCTCATGGTGCTTTTGATGAGGTTAGTTCAATTTGATTGGGAATCTACATGGGGTTTAAGTAACTGTTATCACTAACAAAGGCTCAACTAATGAGTAGACAGTGTAACAGGTACCTGTAGTCCAACATGTAAGCTTTTCTGTTCATCCTGGTGAGGTGGTTGCAATTGTAAGAAACTGCTTCTAGCATACTTAAACCCTTGCCTGCAGAATAGCTAAAGATTAACTTTTTGTCTCATTTTGGTTTTTGCATAGGTTGGTCTTAGTGGTAGTGGAAAAAGCACACTGGTAAACCTTTTGCTCCGGCTATATGAGCCAACAAATGGTCAGGTAGAGTTTTCAAGCCTTATGATTTCATTAAAGGATGATTGGAAACGGATGGTTTGATCCTTATAAGATATGCATGGGTTCATAAGTTGGAGTCTGAGGTAGAAAAGAATAATGGAAGGGAAAAACTAGTCACGAGACTTAAGTCATTAAACAAATAGATGGTGGCTGGAAAATATTTTCTTATACTATGGTAAAATTATGATTCTCTCTTAAAATATATATTTCAGTTTACATAATTGGAAGCAATTGTTTCATAATAAAAAGTTGGAATAAGAAGTTTAAAGGAGGAACAATGTTTAATGATGTTTGAGTCAAATAGCATATCCTGCTCTCTTAAGAACAAATGCAAGAAAAGGGGGAATATGTTTGTTTCTGAATCAAATCATGCAGACTTAACAATTTTGCCTTAGCAGCAAGTTAACGGGTTTCTCTTTGGCGATTATATCAAATTAACAATTACAAAAAAGGAAAAAAGTGTTTGTTATACTACTAAACATTCAGTTTCGTGAAGTACTTCTGAAGCTCTAGAAACCATTTTGCTGGGGCAGTTCTCAAATTGGGCTGATTTTCTATATAATAAATTAGGTAACAGTAGCTGCAGCCAGTCATGATGTACAGTTGTATTATGAGAGTAGACACCTATTATTTTTTTTAATATTCACTTTACTTTAATTGCAGATTTTGATTGATGGCTACCCTCTTAAAGAGTTGGACGTCATGTGGTGGAGAGAAAGAACTGGTTATGTGGGACAGGTTCTTGACTGGCAAAATGGCACAAATTTTAGTGAATATAATTATATATGGTCCTTTTCTCCCAACTCATGAAAATTGTTTGTGCAGGAGCCGAAGCTCTTTCGCATGGATATTAGTTCAAACATCAGATATGGATGCACACGTGATATAAAGCAGGATGATATTGAACGGGCTGCCAAGCAGGCCTATGCTCATGACTTCATCGCAGCACTTCCTAATGGTTATGAAACACTTGTTGATGATGATCTGTTAAGTGGGGGACAAAGGCAGCGAATTGCCATTGCAAGGGCCATCGTTAGGGACCCAACTATTTTGATCCTTGATGAAGCCACCAGTGCACTGGATGCTGAGAGTGAATATAATGTCCAGGTCTGCTTCTCTAAGCAAATTATTTTTTTTTAACATTTTAATTCAATTTAAAAAAGGGAGAATGACAAATAAATCCCTCTAGAATCGAGAAATGATAATTTGGTCTCACGAAATGTGATAATAATACTTTTTAAGTCCCAAGGGACCTAATCATCATTAAAAGTTTTTTTGAAATGACAAAAATACTCCTTAATTCAAAAAAGTGCAACAAAATTTTTTTCGTTCACAATTCTAGTTTTGAAATTCACAACTCTAGTTCAACAAATGACTAAAGTGGTTTAGGCATTTACAACTTTTTCTTACCATTTTTCTTCAATTAAAAAAGTGCAACGAAGTTTTTTTGTTCACAACTTTGGTTCTAGAATTTACTTCCTAAAGTGGTTTAGGCATTTGCAACTTTTTCTCATCATTTTTCTTCAATCAACAAATTACAACCAAGCTTTTTATTTCATTTACAACTTTGGTTATGAAATTCACAAGTCTAGTTTAGTAAATGACTAAAGTCGTTTTATAACTTTCTCTCACAATTTTTCTTCACTTTTTTAAATTAAAGGGTATTTTTATCATTTCATCAAAAACTTTAATGACAATTAAATCCCTTGGGAATTAGAAAGCATTGTCACATTTTACAAGACTAAATTGTCCTTTTCTTATTTCGGAGGGATTTATTTGTCATTCTCTCTTTAAAAAAATGGAGAAGTGGGACTAAAAGAATTTAGTTAATTTTCTTTGCTCTTTTAATTTATATCTTCTTTTTATTAAAATTTTATAGTCCCACTCGTGTTTTTTTTTTTTAAATCAAATTCATTAGAATCTCCCCTCCCTTTAATTTCCCTCCAACCAAACGGGGGGGAAATGTGGAGAGAGAATGTAGAAAAAGGATACTGATTCTTGAGTTACCATTTTATGGTAGGGTGTTTTTCGTTCTGTCAGAAGCGACTCCACACCGAGAAGCGTCATAGTCATTGCACACAGGTTATATCTTTGCTTTTTAGCATCCATTATATTATATGTTGATTCTACGTTTGAAGTTTATCATCTGATTCTACAGGCTTTCTACAATCAAAGCAGCTGACAGGATTGTGGTAATTGATGGTGGTCGAGTTGTTGAGGTTGGTAAATTGTTGGTTCAATTGAAAGTTGAAATGTCTTAAACAACCTAAAACTTTTCTTTCAAGTTCTGTTTGGGTCTATTATCCTTGATACACACACACAGTGGTTGCCCCCTTTTGAATGATTCCCAAAATTGTTGTGCTCGATCATGATGGATATAACATAGGATAGTAGTGCTTGTAGGGATACAATTCACGATAGGTTGCTCTCCTCCTAGTGTTGAATGAAAGGCCATAATTCACTATTCTTCCATAAATTTTATCTTGTCCAAATCAGAATTCTAACTGTCAATAATTCATCTCCACGCAGATTGGAAGTCACAGGGAACTTCTCTTAAAGGATGGTTTATATGCACGACTGACCAGAAAACAGGCTGACACAATGTCATGATTTTTTATTGATACTTGTACAAAGCGGAAATTTGTTCCTTTTTTCTCTGGCTTCTCTCATTTACCGTTGGGTAGAGGGCCAAGCAAATATTATTTTTAACTGCTGAACCGGATGTTCATAGCATTTCACAAGAGGAACGCAATAAGTTTTAGCAAAGAATAATTGTCGTCTTGCTGCAGCTGATTTGGATGGAACTTCAAGGCAGCTTCAGAAAGGTCACACAATATCAAGTTCATACAGCCTATCAAAAGCATAGGTTAAATATGGTATAGATAACTATATTCTTGAGTTCTGCTACTAACATGGTTTGCTGTTACAGACTGTGGACAACTGCGTGTGTAAATTACAATTGAATTTTGACCAAAAAAAAGGAAAAAAAAAAAAAGGTTCATGTAATGCAACTGTAAACTCACACAGTGAAGTCACATTATATCTGTAGCTGCATACAGTTTATGAAGTTATGTTAGTAGGGGTCACCCCTTATTTGTCAAGCTTGAGTGTGAATTCATGCATAAGCACAAATTGCTGCTTAATAATTTTATTTTTATTTTTGAACTTCTCTTTCTTCTCTGCACACTGACGTTTGGCTTTGGGATGAAAGCTTTTATGCATGCCCATTTAGACTTTCCAACAAAAGTGTTGAACTCTTTTAAGTTATATAAGATGTTATATCTTTATTAAAAAAATTGATTACAAATACTTTAAAGAACCTTCTTTACCTCTCTGCGACACCTTATGGTCTATATACTCATCATTCTCTTCCCTTCTTGGACGCATGCATATTTATCATCTTATTGTCAAATTACATCTTAGGCGACTAGAAATCAGAATATGTGATACATCACAACTATGTTGAATTATGCCTGCTTCTCATATAAGAGTAATTTGGTATTATCAACCAAAAAAAAAAATACCTTTTTTAAAGTGGAACAACGAAATGAAATTACGTTATGATCAGCTTATTTTATAAAACAAGCAAGAGATTGTCGTTAATGAGGCTTCAGAGTCCTTTCTTTAACTAATATTTTTAGAACAATTCCTTAAGTATTATCTAACAGCACTTTTATCAATGGCTTTATACATGCCATATATTTTCTTGTATGAAAATTTCAGTAAACCATGCAAAGCAAGCTTAAGTTACGCGACCAGCGTCGCTGCAGAGAGAATCAAATGGAATTAAGAATCCAAGATATTCTAATTTTCTGCATATTGTATGATTGTTGACTCAGTTTATGTTGGTTCCTGAGAACACATATCGATCCAAATTCGGCAACCTGAGAATTTTGAAACTGTTACAGCCTATTAGGGTTTGTTTGGCTACTCCTCTAGAATCAATTATGGGATCCAAAACTATGGTTTTGGAAACAATCATCCAAACAACTCTAATTTTTTCAAACTCTATTTTAGATAAACTGATTTTTCCTCCTTTTGATAAATTGATTTTTCAAAATTAATTTTAGAAAATATTATGATTATTATCCAAATAATCATTACATTCTATTAATCAATTTTTTCTATGATCAATTTGCCCCAATTGAAATTCAAAGATTTTATTTTTGTCTTGAGCCATCTCACACTTTGATATGGACTTTTGACCATGAAACTCTCAGTTTCTGAATAGCAGTGTGTCACTTGTTTATCCATGAACATTTATATGGATTTTTGAGCAAGGATTTTCGCTCACTGCCGATTCGAATCATGTTTAGAATTGAAGAACACAAAATTGAATTCTATTTAGAACCAAATTCACACCAAAAAAATAGAAATAAAAAGAATGTTTCAGTCCGCTGGACTAGCTGCATTTAAATAGGACAAGGAAGAATATCGACTTACGAGTTTCATTTTCTAGAGTATTACTATCAATATCCGGCAAATCGTACTTCCTTCTGTTTTTCGTTTTAACACAGCAAATTTACAGTGTCAACCAGCTTTCTGCACAGTTTTGGTGTCTTAGAGGTTGAATTTTTCTCCATAGCCGAACTCATCAAGTTACCATAAAGATTGTCAAGACATGTTTCATGGTGACTTTGTAACCAGTTTTCTCAGCGCACCTTTCACCCCACTCAGCATACTTGTGTTTGCAGAGTACATCTACGTTGTTAGTTGTAGGGTTCTAACTTTCTCTTGAAAAATGAACATTATGTTTGTTCTCAATCTTTTAAAAGGAACTAAGGATTTGCTTTCAAGTTTTAACAAACATATATTAATATTGACCAGATGGAAGCTGAAGAGGTTTGAGCATCAAGACATGTTAGGTTTATAGAAGTATGATCCCAGCACAGGACGTTCCTGCATGGCTGGCTAGTTAATTTTAAGGAAGATCCGATCGATGCTTTGTTATCATCTTTTCTAGGTGAACTTTGTTCCTCCTCTAGCACCACCCAAAAAGGAAAAATGAAACCTTAGATTTTATCACTGAAACAGTATTAAATCAGAAGCAGCCGGCCTTCGTGAACAACTAGTATCAACGTTATACCCAATGTTTCAAATACCGTCACCTGTCCTCGTACGTGGTTAAACCCCGTCTACGCCACAATTTTTTCTACAGGAAGACGATAATGAAACTCTTGGATAGGTCAATCTTAACCTGCAGGCTATGCTGAAGCGTGTGGCTCACTCGTTAGGCCTCGTGCAGCACCCAGATAGAAAGTCCAGAAGGAAGAAGCAACTTAGAGGTGGTGGTGTTGCAGCTGCTAAAGCATCGTCTCAGGACTTGAGCTTGCAATCTGAGAGTATTTTTGTGAAGATAGTTCATGAAGGAGGGCAAAAGGAGCTGTATCAGCATGCAGTTCCTGCATCGAAGTTGATGGAGAAGTATCCTGGCATGTGTATTGCCTTACCAGAAGTCTTCAAAGATCCTCACCAGTCAGTACTATGGCCAGAAGAGACTCTAATGCCTGGTCACAAGTATATTATAATCTCGTGCAAGGCTGTGGAGAAGCTCAAGAGCAAATATCCAGAGGATGACAGTTTTTTACTGGAAACAAAGATCACTAAAGATGATGACGGCAAAGAGAAAGGCCAGGAGATTTTTGAGGCGATGAAGAGTCTTTCTCCAAGTAAAATACAAGAGGAGGCGTTTTGTTCTGCAAAGGACTTGCATGTGTCTGAAGAGAAGTACACCACGCATCCAAAGAGAAAAGGAATGAGAGGGAAGAAGAAGCCTTTTGTGCCTCCTCTGCCAAAGTCGAAATCTTTTCGAAGCTTCGGGTGGCAGCCTAGCCTCTCTCCAGTGGAAGAGCTCTCTGCTTGATTTTCTTTTCTGATACATATGAAGCTTTGGCTTGTCTGAGTTTTTTTTGGGTCCTAATCTCTCTAAGTGAACACAAGATAGTGCTTACTCAGAGAAGTCAAGACCATGATACTGGAGACAAATTGTAATGGATCTTCGCATAGGTGGACTGCATTGAAGAACTTACCAGAGAATGAGTGAAGAACTAAAGATATTCACTTTCCACTCTGAAAAGCCACAGGAATCTGTGTTTTTCCATTTATAGCTTTCTTCATTATGGGAATAGGCTTTGCTTTTTACCCATGAAGAATTGCACTATGTAATAAGAATTGAAATGTTTCACATCTTTTTATCTGAATGGCATAATATTAATATATCCATGATAGTAAATTCAAATCTCCGAGCTCAACTCTGTCCCAAAGTTCATTCATATAGTTTATTTACTTGAAGAATGTCTGTTCCTCAATCCCCTATCCCATTGATGTTTAAACATGTGGGATTTTAACCATAGCCAAAAAAACAAAAAAGGTAAAAAAAAAAAAAAAAACACTGTGTCACGGGTTTTAGTGTTCTACACGATGATCTGGACATAAAGCTTCACCAGTTGAAAAGACAAGACTCTCAAGAGCTTCCTCGACGAGGAATAGAATAACCTAAGCTTCAACACGAACCATTATCCTTTTGTCGTCCTTGATCTGTGCCAAAAGAATCCACGCAAAAACTACAACGTTGGTGTTTTCGAGACGTCGATCAATAACATGCCCGAGTAGTAGTCTCTTCACTTAGGAATGCAAAGTTCACAAGACACAAGACAAAACCTTGGTCAAGATCCATGCGTATAACACAGACAGAGCTGCACCGACAGGAATAGTGACAGCCCATGAAGCCACAATCTCCCTCACAGTTTCTGCTCTCACATTGTTAAGTCCTCTGGCAAATCCAACCCCCATGACTGCACCTACAAGAGTGTGAGTTGCAGAAATGGGAAGCCCGAGCTTTGAAGCAGACAAAACCACTGATGCTGCAGCAAATTCTGCGGCAAATCCTCTTGTTGGTGTGAGCTCAGTTATTTTCTTCCCAATTGTAGCTATGACTCTATAACCCCACATGGTAAGCCCTGCAACAATGCCGAATCCTCCCCACACGAGGATATCAGTCGGAATCACAATCTCAGCGCCTCTGGCTCCTCCGTGAAGAATGGCTAAAGCACCGGCCAAAGGACCTATGGAGTTAGACACGTCGTTTCCACCATGAGCAAACGACATGAAGCATGCAGAGAGGACCTGCATGTAACCGAAGACTCCATAGACTATTTCAAGCTGAGTGCCCTTAGGACCTGCAAAGTCAGAGAGGAAGCCTATGTTTTTGTGGGAAGTGTCCTCTTTCGGTTCAGGCTGTGGAGGAGGAGGCGGCGGCTTGACAAGAAGATGACCAAGCTGTTTTCTTATTATTCTGTTCACAAGAATAGCACCACATGTTCCACAGGCCAATGCTTGGGCTAAAGCCACCAGGAAGATCTTGCTGAGAGGGAAGGCCGCAAAAGAAATCCCGGTGACACCGAGAAACACTGCAATCGGCGCCGCTGCAGCCGCTGCCTGTCCTGGATTTGGTGCGCTGTACACAAACTGGATCATCAAAAAGACCCGGCACCATGTAAGAATTGATATCATAAAAGTTTAAGGCAAATCCTCTCAAAATTGGCTTAAGCTATTTTGATATTCTCAAAAGCTAGATATGGTATAGCGATCTGGGACGAGAGGGAAAAAAAGAAAGGAAAGGGATATACCCGACGAATGCATTTGTACACAAGAAATGACACAGCTGCTCCCATTAAGGGTGAGACAACCCATGAAGAAATGACCCTTGCAAGTGAACCCCAGAAAACGGCTCCACTTCCGCCATAGGCCAGACCGAATCCGACCATTGCTCCGACTATACAGTGTGTAGTAGACACTGGCCATCCATAGTATGATGCAACCTGTGTCCACAAAATAATACTAACATATAAATATATAGCTCAAATGCAAGTCCTCATTGGTTGGTTCTGTAACAGTTCCATGAAGTTCTTGTAACAATGGTGGAATATACATTCCAAGATATTTGTTATTAGATTCTTCTGTAAATTGTAATATAGGGATGCTATATTCAATTTACATTTTACAGAGACATGTTAATAAATATCAAATGAAAGGGGAAGGCCTCTGAGAAGCTTCTCATTATCATGGAAGAATGCTTAATGCACGTCAATAGCTACTGCAAAATTTCCTTTGTATTATCTCGAGAAAAAGTATTTAATACTATAATAAAAATAATACAACAACAACAACAAGCCTTTATCCCATTAGGTGGGGTCGGCTACATGGATTGCAAGACGCCATTGTGCTCTATCATTTATCAAACTTTTAGGAATATTATTAATTAACAGATCGCGTTCAATAACTTTCAAAAGTGTTCTCTTAGGCCTTCCTCTACCTCTCTTAATCGGACTCAAAGTTATATGTTCCACTCTTCTCACCGGTGCCTCCCTTGGTCTTCTTTGTACATGTCCAAACTATTTCAATCGATTTTTTACCATTTTTTACTCAATAGGTGCTATATATATATATATATATATATAGAGAGAGAGAGAGAGAGAATTTTGTATATAAATGCTGTCTGTCTTCCTATGCTTGCAATAATCACAGGTCTCATATGAACTCTTGTTATTAGGTTCCCAGTGTTTTCTAATAGAGGCGCACATTAATCAACTAGGGGATTACAAAGGCAACGACCTTTTTTTTTTTTTTTAAGTACAAGGAGTAGGTTTCACCGATACCGAACTCTTTCAAAATACTATGAGTAAAAAGATATTTCTTTCAACTAAATTGCTACATATCCAAGGGTTAGGATTCGAATCTCAAAAACTTATATAAATGACGGGAGAAAGACAACGATAATTTAAACTCAGTAAAATACATCAACTTTGGTGCAATAGACCATATCGAAGCATACAAATACCTCCTTCCAGCTCTTATCACACTTACTATAACAAAAAAAATAAATGTCCTAAAAAAATAATTATAAACTCAAACCCTTTTTTTAGCGAAAATGGCATTAGTTTAATGCTAACGCAAGTTATATCAGCTTCGTATTTTATTTAACCAGAATTGAAAATGACGCCGTTGGCTTCTGCCAAGCATGCAGACACGCCATTCCGTTGAAGAAAGTTGCACAGAGCGGAATTGATATTTTAGTCAAACAAAATTGTTCGATTTGTATTCGATAGCATTAATGGTCCAAAAACTAGAGATCAAAATGAACTATAAAACAGAACAAAACAGAGTGAGTGAAGTGATTACGAACCTGTAGCCAGGTACCAGCAGCAGCAAGCGAAGAGACCAATCCTGCGAAGAGCAGAGTATCCTTCCCCTGAAACACATTAGCCACCAGAATCCCCTTCTGCATTGTGCTCGTCACGTGGGACCCCATCAACAATGCCCCGGAAAACTCCAGCACCGCCGCCGTCACCACTGCCTGCCGGAGACTCAATGCCCCGGACCCCACCGAAGTCCCCATTGCATTCGCCACATCATTTGCCCCAATATTCCACGCCATGTAAAACCCGAACAGAAGCGTAGCGTAAGATAAAATCTTAGTCTTCAAGGGCAAGCCCTGTCCCAACGGGCTCATGAAGAAAGGAGAAGTAAGAGCAGCGAACACTATGCATATTGAAATAGCAGAAGCAGTGGCCGAAGATATGTGGAATGCTTGCGCCATTCCAGCCGACTCATTTTCCTCCCCGCTAGTCTTCGCACGCTGCTGATGCCCTCCGTGCTGGTCCTCCCCTTCGGCATCGGCGAAAGACGATAAAGAAGCAAATGGGCGTGTCAGTTTCGAGCTCCGAGTCCTCACAACGGCGAAAGAAACCTTCTTTGGTGGTAATATATCATGATTTGGCTTGACATGGAGAGGGGAAGAGTTGGTTCTGGGAAGATACAAGTGAGAAATTCGTGCAAGGAATCTGTCAGGAGAAGAAGTTGAGTGTTTGATTGAAGAGAAGCGAGCAGAGGGATTCATCGCTTAAGAAAGGAAAAGGCGAGAGAGGGAGAGAGTGGGATTATTATTCAGCGAGAGTCTGGTCCGCCATGGAGAGAGGAGTAGGTGGTGGAGAAAAAGGCAGAGGAATGTGAGAAAGACCATTGAATCTGCAGTGTCCTTGTGAGGAACATGAGGGAATTAGGAGGCTTTTGCTTTGGTTGATGGAAATGAGTGGTGGTTATAGTTCCTGATGGACCGTTCCATTTCACACCAGACAAATATCCACCACAACCACATTACTTATTCGTCCCAAAATAGTATTCTTTTGGTATTTTAACTTTATTATCAGTTTATCTATCAGCATAAGTCGATCGCGCGACGCACATGTCGAGTCTCTGTAGATGCGTGCGTACAAATCAAGTTGGGAAAATTACAGCTAAATTTTAAAATATTAAATTAATATCAGTTAAATTTTTGATAAAATTTTTTATAAAATAAGTTAAAATACCGATTCAAATTATTATAAATTTATGTATTTTAATTATAAGTAAGTATTTAAACAATAAATATAACTTTTAGATTGTAGTAAAAAAAATTATATGTAACTATTTAAATTAATATTTACAATTTATTTTATAAAATTTTTTATCAAGAATCTAATTATTATTAATTGCCATTCTCCCAATCAGGTTTTTATCAATTTTAATTGAGCCTCACAAACACCAGAACAAAAACAGAAAACAGGTCTTGTAGAATTCAAACAAGGTTCTACTGTAATAAGATATAGACTTCTGGCCCAAAAAAATAACGCCATTGCCTGTGACTCTGTGAGACCAGCCTGTTTTGTTATTTAGTGATGGGCCTCTTGTTCCTTTTTGGTCAAAACGGAACACGTGAACTAGGGAGAAAAACGGTAATGTAGGCCCAAAAATTTGTAGGATCCAATATGTCCTCTCGTAGTCTCGTCCTACAGGCATTGGATCGAACTCACAATGTAAATGCGTGTGGGTGAGTGGGTCATAACTCTAGGGGACTTTCGAGCTGTTGTGTGGAGATGATCTGAAGATTTGGTCCAAACTATTACAGTCTCTCTGGTTCCATAAATAGGGAGACACGGGTAACATCTCACGTGTCGAATTTCATGTTAAGAGTCACTAGGAAACTAGCAAAGAAAGTTTCTGCCAAGAATGGAAGCAGTGTTTTGAGTGATCGAATGTGGTTTATTCGTTTTTTTTTTTTTCATCTACATAGCTGGGGAGAGATGAAGATGCCTTAGCATTTTCTGGGGATGACTTGGACGCCAAGGGAGGTTTCCGGAGTGCAGTTACGTGGAGGAATCTGGTTGGAGAACAAGAAAGGCTACCAAATCGGGTTATGTGAGCTTTTATGTTGGGGGAGAATATATGGTCCGGTGACTGTAATTGGTGTTCTCCACGTAGGGGTGGTTCGAATTCAAAACTTCAGTCTGGTTGAGGCATATGCTTGCTTGGGAATTTAGAGCCTGTTTGGTTTTTATTCTTATTTTTTTATTTTTAAAAATTATTTTATAATACAGTTTTTAAAATTATTTTTTAAAACTAAATAAAATGAAAATCTGTTTGATTATATTTAAAATTAAAAAATAAATTGATAGTGATAATTATAGGCAGTTAATAATGGTGATTAATAATAAAAAAATAATTAAGATAATTATAATTTTTAATAATTAAATATAATTTATTTTAAAAATAAAAAAACTAAAACGAAAACAACTTGAAGTTGTTTATATTCTTTTGTTTTAAAAATAAAAAATAAAATAATTTTTAGAATAATGAAATAAAAAATATATATTCAAACAAGTTTTAAAGTTTTTTTTATTTTTAAAAACAAAAAATAATTTTTAAAAATAAAAAACAAACAAGTCCTCAATATCCGACTCCCGAATCCAATTCCCCCGTCACCTTTTTTCCCCCTAAGGTTTTAGTAGTTGCTATCAAAAAGTAGTCGTATTGGAATGGGCTCTAATTATCACCAAAATAGGACTGGGTGTTCAGCCATGTTAACCGTATTGATGGACCGGTCTTAATTGAAAAAATAAATTTAAACATTTTGTGTAAAAAAATAAAAAATGTTTAGATAATATTTAATTATATTCTTGTTATGAATATCAAATTTATTGTTGATTGCACAACCATCGTAATAAAATTATTTATTACCAATTATAAATAATCAATATTATCAAGCATGCCGCATAAATTGTCTAATAAAAAAACATTAAGCTTTTGTAATTAACTAAAATCATTAATAAATTGTCATATATATACATATAATACTAAAGAAGAACCAACCATAAGATATAAAATAGCATAATTTTAAATTATTGAGATTTTTTTAAAAAAATATTTTTGACAGATTTTTCACTAATTCTTGACTAGTTTATCTTTTAATGATTTTGGGGGTAATCCTCAGACTAAACCATAAACTAGTTCTCAGTCAAACAGGTCGATCTAGTCTAGTTCAATTATGACAATATCGATAATCGCTTAAATGTAGTGTCTTGGATTTAAATTTGTGTAAATGTAAAATGATGTTTTTGAGACAATTATCTCCAATTAAATTTGACAATCCTTAAATTTGATTAGGTGAAATACCGATAGAAAAAAAATGTTAATGATCGTTATCTGTTTTAGTTTTTGGTTCTAGCATTTTCTGATTGTCATCTTTTTACTTTCCTTGCAAGCGTCATCCTTCATGCAATTGAAATATTTTTTGACACAAAAAGATTAATAAAAAGGAATACAAATGAAATAAAAAAATGTCAAAAATGCTATCGGTGATCTATATTTTTAACAATAACGTATGGAACCACGAATTTATAAGCCACCATGTGGGGCAAAAAACAAAAATTTATTTAAAAGTAAAAGGGTTTTAAGATTTTTTACAAATAAATACAAATATTCTTTTCATTTTAAATTATAAAACACTTTCAAGTAAAATTTATCATTCTAAAATTTAATATGCTTTAATAATATTAAAATTTTATTAAATAAATTTATTTTAATGTTAACTTTTCTCTCTTTATTTAATATTAATTAAGTGTAAATTTAATGTTATTAAATAAAAAATATTTTTTAAAATTTATATTTTTATTTAAAAAAATTATTTAACATACTTATTGAAAATTATTAATATATAAAATTTTATGTAAAAATGTTTTATAATTTAACATACATGAAGTATAATTATTACAAATATGACATCATAGTACGCCCCCCCATCAATTCGTCGTTGAACGTACTGATAAATTGTGAGATTTCTTTTTTTATTTTATTTTCTATAGTGAAGAGATAATTTAAAATAATATGGGGGCCCACACGGCTTCGGATGGGTAAGGTTGGCTTGATGGCTTCCCATATTGAGCGGAAGATCCAAATTCCAAAGCAGAGGCTATCGCATCAACTTGTCGAGGCAACCTTAATCAATAATCAGTCGAGTACCGTGGGTCCCGCATCAGCTTCAAAAAACTGCCTTCAATTGTCTCCAGTTTACCGTGTTATCAATTACAAGAATCTTTTTTATAGAGAAAATGGCAATTAAGGACCCCAACATTAATTACAATTAAGAATCTTGAATTATTAAAATTAAAATAACGGACAATGACCTTACTTGAAAGTTGAAACTAAAAAGATATACACCACTTGAAAGTTGAAACTAAAAAGATATACACCCTCTATCTTTATATAACATATTTTTAATTAAATAATAAAAGTTAATAAAAATTAATTATTTAATTAAAAGTACAATAATATTTTAATTTTATTTTTAATTATTATAAAGAAAAAATGAATTTTTTTAAAAGTTAATTAATGAGAGAATTTATTTTTTTCTTTTCAATTTAATAAGGGTATAATAGTCTATTTATTAAAATATATGCTATGACTTTATATTTAGAGACAAAAAAATTTTAAAAAATTTCTTATGTACATGAACGAAAGGAGCATGACTATATAAAATTGCCTTCACTTGAAAAATAAAAAAGACACTATTGAAACTAGTATGATCAGTCATGACTATTGTTGCCTTGGTTGGGCAAATCAACATTCACGCTTGGGAATGAGTTGCTAAAATTTACTTGTAAAACTTTAGAAAGGCACTTATAAACATACAATAGTCACTTAAAAATTTATTAAAATTACTTTTAAATGTGAAACCAATCAATTATAAATTTTTATACTTACCAATATATAAGTAAATCACTTAGAAAATTATGAAATGACACTATTAAAATTGCTATTATAGGTTGAGACTATTATTAGCCTTACTTAGAAAAACTAGAATCCCAAGTATTACAAGTTAGGACTAATGAAATTACTTTTATACATTGATACTATTGTTAATCCTATTCTTAAATGTGTAACTTGGTTTTTTTAATTAAAATTAATAATAATTCTAACTTATAGTAATAATTTTAGTACTCAAAAATAATTTTATAAACTTGTATAAGTATTTAATTTCAAGTAAAAATCAGGTATTAGAATTTTTAATTATAATTAATAGTCTCATGATATCTTTAATTGTCGTTTTTTCTTTTGTATTAGTATTATTATTAACAACATCAACTACAGGAAGCAAGGTACTTTGGGAGGAGGCTATTGAATGGCCACCACAACTTGGATGGTAAGTGGTCAAGAAGGTGGGAAGGGTTGAGAAGAAATGAGCACAAAACGACAAGCCGTCCACCCGCCGCTTCTGCAGAATTCAATTCATTCAAGAGTCATGGCTTTAATTAAGAAGCGTGACGGACCCGCCACAATCCCCGTCTCATGGTTCATGGAAACTTGAACTTCCCACAACTGAATTGTCCTTCTAAATGTTTGGATACTTTTCACCAAAACGTTGTTTCATGGCAAATCCAAACACGCACGTAGTATAGTACTTCTTTTGTTTTAATTTTGAATTCATTTTTATTTAGGAGGATCGCGTCAAAGACCTTTGGGGGGAAAAACAAAATGGGTCCACTACAATTTGATAATGCTCTACGTCTACTGGCTTTAAAGACTCATGTCTAATTAATTTCCTCATTGAGATAACTGAATTATCCTTAATGACTGAAGAGAAGATACAACACTAAAATTTTTTGTTGGATCTTCTGTAATTAATTTTGTTTCGGTTAACATGTAATATTTCTTTTGTATTCTTCAATCAAGTACAAGTGTAAACTACAAATGAACTCTTGTAAATAAATAAATAAA